TGTTACCAGTGGGCTGTTGGACTGAGCCTCAGGTCCTCTTAGACCAGTGAACCTCACTAATGCCCCTGGAGCACTCAACCTGGTGAGTGGTTTCACCAGAAAGAGTGAGCTAGAGGGCCAGCAGGTGGGGCAGACCAGGAGGAAGAAGGGGAGGAGGAGTGAGGGGTGAGGGGCCAGGGCAGGAGGGGAGGGGCAGGGGAAGAGGAGCTGGGATGGGAAGGAGGGGAGCACACGGGGAGGAGGGTGGGGCAGAGGAAGGAGGCGCTGTTAGAGGCAAGGAAGGGGGAGGCTGGGGCAAGCAGCTTTGCCAGATGTGTGTGGAAGACACTTCCTTTTCCTACTCCCAAAAGCAGCAAGAAAGCATGTGGCCCTTGGGGCTGGTGGCACCCATCTGCAGCCATGAGGAAATTAGTCTTGGGAGAAACTGACACAGAGACAGCTAAGGAAGGACTAGCCCTGGCGCTCGGCCCACCTCCGGACCTCGCTTAGGAAGACATCTCCTTCCTGTTAACCGTGAGCGTGTTACTTGTCGTTGAAAGCAGTCACATAGATCAACCTGAAGAAATCGAAGCAGAAAGATCCTGGTCCTGCCGCTGCTGTTGGGGTCCCTGTAGGAGCTGGGCCTGGAGCCTCACTCATTGTTGAGCTCCCCAGTTACATAAATCAACATGTCCCTTTTGCGCTGGGGTTGGCTTACTTTTTCTTTTCCAACCAAGAGAGTCCTTCTGTAAGTTCATGACTCTGGGCAGATCCCAAAGAGTCATCCTTACAGTATTTTCTGTGATGGTGACATTTTATTTTCAAAATCTCTTTATCAGTTCCAAACTCCAAAATGTACCCCAAACCCTGAGATCATCTTTAGTTTAACGCTAACGCTCATTGGGTGACAAACATGAATCAAACTGATCTGTGGCTCCTTACAGTCTTTATTCCAGTTAGTGTGGATACTCATAAGTTCTGTTCTAAAAAAAATTAATGGGTTTAATTTTGTGGGGCTGCCTAGGCTTGCTGGAGGGGTTATGTAACACACAGTGCCTGCTCGCTCTAAAATGCACGGAGCTCTAAATTCCCAGTCTGGTCCCAGGTGTTGGCCACTTGAAGCCTGGAGTCCTTGGGGACTGGCCATGGGGACATTTGTCCTGGGCTCTGTTTCAGAGGGCTAGACCAAGAGTCTTGTTTCTCAATTTTTTCTTCCATCATGTCATTTCTTCTAACTTGAACAAAGGAGTTCCTAATTCGTCTTGGACTGAAGTGTACTTGTGGCAGAATCCTCTCTGAGTCCGGGACCCAGTCGTTTTTGCATCATTTCGGAGACCATTCATTTAGACGGAGGCTTGCCTGGCGGTTCGGGACTGTGATGAATGTTGGGATCGTGTACACAGGTTCACCAGCCGTGTCTTGACCTTGGAAATGCTGTGGTATTTTACGGTGTGTGGTGACATTTATGGGCCCATTTGGACATCCACAAAGAGGTTGATTTCCATAGATTAAATGTCAAGTTAGAAAGCGTCCGGGGTAATTGAATCCTTGAGCGTTGTCCACTCGATTCTCAGCTGGGCCATTGACTGGTTGTTTGGGTGCCATTAGGAGCCCAGGAGTACAGGGCAAATTGCTTAATGCAGTGAGGTCAGCCTGGGAGCCCAGGGGGAGGGGAGCCTGGGCAGGATCAGGGATGGCAGTGAAATCTGCTCCCTGCAAAAAAGTGGCCTCATTTTATTTCTTTAAATAAAAGCACATATGTGGTTGGTTGGTGATTAAATGAAAATAAAAACCCCACCAACCAGGTTTCCCAGATGTTGGCGGCTGTTGGTCTGTGTATTGACAGGAGTGAAATGGTGAAAAAGAATCCATGATTGTGTAGGTAGAAGGGTTTACGAAGCCTTGAGCCTGTGTCCATGGAGTTGGAGTAAGCGCCATTTACGGTCAAGGGCAGCAAGAAGAGCCTCAGAGAACTTCCTGGGTGCTTAGTTGTATGTGTGCACTGACTGTTCAGATGCAGGGGGGTCTTCAGTCTCTTGAGGCTGTGTTCACAGGAGGCCCTGAAAGCCAGGTGGCTGTGAGTGGGCCCACCCACACGGCCTCTGCTGGGGCATGGGAGACAGGAGGGGCGTCCGCCCGAGGACCTCCACCACTGGGATGTCTGTCTGGTCTCTCTGAAGGTCCTGTGTCCTTGCAGTGATGGCCTCTCTCCCTAGAACTCAGGGCTCTAACCTGTCAGTTAGGGTCAGAAGCAGGGTTACCCTGCCTAGTTCAGCAGAGTCCAAGTAGACCTGCCCCTGACCAGGTGTGGGGCAGGGTGGATCCAGGAGCCAGCTGTTGGAGGCCTGCAGACAGCATGAAGGCCACTCCCAGATGTGCTTTGTGGTTAGGAGTTAGAACTAACTAACACACTGGCTATTGGTGATCCCTCCCCTCCACAGGCCCCTCATGCAGGGTGACCATGGGTGCCTGCCTCCTCAGGCCCAGATGGAGGTCAGCCATGCTGCTTGGCTTTGGAGGGGACATCTGATCCCAAGAAGGGGCACATGTCTCTTCAAGGACAGGTGCCTTGTCTGTGGAGGTGACGGATGACCCAGGTGTCAACATTAGGTTGAGCACGGGGACTTGACTGAGCGGCTGCTCGTTTAGCTTGTGTCGGCTCAAATACCTGGGGGACCAGGAACAACCCTGGGGTTGAGTGGGCCATGTCATCTGGTCTCACGCAGCTGTCCAGGAAAAATGGCCAGGTAGGGGAAAGAGGAGGAAGCAAAGTGTGCCCATGTGCTCCCTGCCCAGGCCCAATGTCAAGGCCGAGAGGCCGATGGCGTCTTGTAGATTTCTGTCATACTGTATACAGTATGTCTCAGAAGGACCTCCAGAGCCCAGGATGACCTCATCTTGATTTAACTAGTCACATCTGCAGTGGCCGTATTTCTAGATAAGGTCACATTCACAGGGTCTGGAGTTCAGGACTTCAACATCTTTTGGGGGGACACAGTTCAACCTGTATTACCTTGTTTCCCCTTTTCTGAGACCTAAAGAGCCATGACATTTTTGGGTGGCCAGCCCATGCAGCAGGCAGTGAGCCTGGGCCCCACACTTAGAGGTGATGACGGGACTCTCAAAGGGCTGTGCTCTCAGGCACCAGCTTTTCTGGGCCTGGGAGAGGGGGTGTGGGGAGGCAGAGAGCCTCCCAGGAGGCTGGGGAGAAGGCTTTGTGGTTCTGTCCTCAGCTCTAAGAAGCTGGCTCTGAAGGGGTGAGAGCTAAGAATGTGTCAGCTTTTACCTTGCTGTGACCAAAAGACCTGACAAGAACAACATAGAGGGAGGAAAGTTTGTTTGGGGTTTACGGTTTTGGAGGTTTGAGTCCATAGACGGCCAAGTCCATTGCTCTGGGCCCAAGGTGAGACAGAATGTCATGGCGTGAGGGTGAGGTGGAGGAAATCAGCTCAGGACATGGCAACAGGAAGCATACAGAGCTCTGCTCACCAGGGACAAAACATAAACCCCTCGGCAGGTCCCACCTCCTCCAGCCACAGCCTACCTGCCCACAGTGACCACCAGTTAATCCCTTCAAGTGGACTAACCCACTGATTAGGCAAAGCCTCTCACAACCCAGTCATTTCACCTCTAAGCTTTCTTGCATTGTCTGACACATGAGCTTTTTTGGGGGGGTACCTCATCTAAATGGTAACAGAGACCTTGGGGCTCAGTCAGGCTCTGGGGGCTCCACTGGGAGCAGTGTCTCTGTAGTTCGTCTGCTGGGGCTTCGTGGTTGGGAGGCTCTGAGCCCACAGTGTGTGGAGATGGCTCAGGTTCAAAAGGGGTTCTGGCCCCTGGCATTTGGTTACAGAGTTCCTTCAGGAGTGTGTCAGAGGGGTCGAGGCCAGTGCTCGGGGCTGGGGAGGTCCTCGATGATCCTAGGAGGGCGGATTCTTGCACTGGCCACAGCACACCCACCATACCTGTGTAGTGAGGCAGGCTGGTGTGTGGTGGACGCCCTTTTAAGTGGGTTCCCCCAGGTGGACGCATCCTCAGCCCATCAGCCAATGCAGAGAGAAGGTCCTCCTGCTGACTGCAAGGCCTGGCCGGCCACTGGGAGGAAAAGAGTCTCAGTGGAGGGCAGGTGACCGGGTGTGGCTCCCCCTGCCCTGCCCAGCCAGCCCTGAGAGGGCGCCAGCCCACTGCTCCCCAGAAATGGACCTGAGCAGCTTTCACAGGCTGCTCTTCCACATTCTCCCCTGCTCCCACTTTTTGGGGCCAGTTCAAGAGTCCTGAGGACATGCTGGCTGTTCCTCTTTGGCTACCTGGGTGCCCTGACCCCCATGCTCTGGGCAGGGATGGAAATGAGGTGCTGACAGAGGGGCTGATGTCTGTGTTGGAAGCGGCCGGTTGGCCAGCTTGGGCTCATATGGTGACCGGGAGGCGGGGTGGGTTGGTGGAGGGGTTGCCCTAGCACCTTGGGCAGCCCGTCTTCTGGACTTGGCTCAGTGGTGAATCTTGTGCTTCTTTCCACCCTTGAAGCTCTTGTCTTATTCCAGATACCCTCATCCAGGGGAGTCGGGGTCCTCGAGGTGTTGTATTACTCCTGAGAAGCAAGCCTGGGATCTGGCCACAGAAGCCCCGGTCAGCAATCCCATCGTCAATGGGGATCGTGGTAGGGGCAGTTGGAAGCTACGTTAAAGGGCCTAGACAAATGTCCTTAGAATTAAATCACTGTATTTTTAATAAAACATACTTAGAAATTCCCAAAGTTTCAACAAACATACCAACTAAAAAGAAAGTCAGGGAATTTATTTTGCCATATTTGTTACATTAGCCAAGAACAGGGGTGCTGCATGAAGGTTCCAGAATAGGGACCAGTGAACCCAGAGTATCTAAGGCAGCCTCTGTGTTCTCTGCATGTCTGAGGAGCAAGATGAGGGCGCTCCATGCTCAGGACGTAGGGGTTCCTCACCTGGGCAGGCCCCAGGTGCCAGCTGGTCCCTGTTCACTGCCTCGGCGGGCAGGGGCTGCAGGGCTCAGTAGATGCCTTGCTTAGGCCAGCCCAACTCTCGGGCGTAGACCCCTTTGCAGCTTCTGATCTCAAAGTCAAGTTGCAGGCTCTTGTTCAGGCCTGGCACTGCCGACCTCCAGCCGATGAAGCCCTGGGACGTCTGTGGGACTGGGGGGGACGGAAGGACCTGGAGTGGAAATACAGATTACTCACCTGGGACCACAGCCATGTGGGCAGTGTCTGCCAAGGTCCCCAGTAACAGCATCCATGAGGCTGGGCATGGAAAAGACAGACACAAAAGCCATGTCCCTAACACATACTGAGCGTGAGCACATCCCTGGTCCCAGCCGCGGCTCACCTCTTTCCTGAAGGTAAAGAACACTGAACCCGTTTGTTCACCATGTAATGCTTCGAATACTTAATTTATGCAATTCATGTCATCCAGTAAAATAACCTTTGTTTAGTGAAAGAGTCAAAAAAAGTTAAGGTTCAGAAGTATCAAATATTACAGTCCTCACTGTCCTTTATAAAATATAGGACAATATATTGTCAGGTGGCATTCTGGCAATATGGATACATCTTCCTACCCAAACTGTGGGAATGAAAAGCAACTGAAATTAATTTAAAAATCAAAGGGAAACAGGCTTCTATCTGAAATGAGAAAGCACAGCTTCCTTCATCCATTCCTCGGGAACACTTGGAACTTTTGGAAAGTGCGGGTACGTGTTTAGGCAGGTTCCCTCCTTTTAAAATAATTCCTTCTGCTTTCATACGTATTTGCACAAAAGCGGCGAGGAGGAACGTTTGTCCTCGCAGAAGAGCTTCACCAGGCCCGGGGCTGAGCTCACTCTAATGGGATTCTCCAGCCAGACCAAGGGGGAGGTGACATCCCAGGTGGCCGCCACTTGTGGAGGAAGCCCCTTCACACATGTTCTAGAAGAAGTAGGGAAATTAATCTGCTGAGGGCCACAGGTAGGGACGGTCGCCCCCCCCCAGAGGGCCTGAGTGTCCCTGAGCCAGTTGTGGATGCTCCCATTCAGTAGGGAAGACAAGCCAGTGCTGCCCACCCAGCCCGGCCCTGGGAGCAGACCAGGGCTTCAGTCTCTCTCCAGAGCAAAGAAGGGACGCAGAGAACACCAGCCCACGATGTCCTACTTCACCCCCTAGATGGCAGAGACACTGACACTGTGGCTAACTAGGGCACTGCAGGATTAAGAGCAGGATTGCAGTTATCACTAAAAGTGGAACTGCGGTCGCTCAGCACGTGTCCTGACATCCCCATGTCTGCACACCCCATGCCAGCCTCAGGGCGAGGTGTAGCAGCCATGGCCATAACTCCGTGCCCCCAAAGGGGTGTGTTCGGTGCAGCTTTGACTGCATGCTCCGAGACACAGCAACCCCAGGACAGGCTTCTAAGAGACACGAGAGCAGAAAAGGGTGTTCAGTGTAAGAGGACACTGGGTGACAGGGTGGCAGGGCTGGAGACTGCCCACGCCTGTCTCTGCAGTCTACCCAGGTAGGGACACAGCACTGGTGACAGTGGCACCCAGAGCTGCTCATAGGCTTTGGGTATTAAGGTCACCTTTAACAGTGAATTGCTGGGCAAAGTTAGTCACCCAAAGGGGACAGGAGGTGGAAAAGGGAAGCCATGTCCCTTTGCTGGGCAAGTGCAGAGTGAAGCAGAGGCCACTTCCTTTCCACTTGACTCAGGGTCCTTGTCCCATGCACTGAGTCCCACCAGCTCTGCCTGGTGTGTGCGGCTGGGACCTCTGGCTTGCTGTGGGGCAGGAGGCTCCCCGGGAGGAGCCACATGTCCTCCTCTTCCCTGTGGCTGGCCAGGAGGGGATTCTGCTCTTGTTCTGTGTCCCTCGGTCCGTTGAGAGGGGGTGATGCTGGTTGCAGGTGCCACCCCTGGGCAGGCACTGGGACATTAGTGGCAGAGGGAAGCCCAGCCCAAGTACAGGCAAGGCATTGGCAGGGACGGCTGTGGCTGAGAGACAGCAGAGGGGAACGGAGCCCTGGCCATGGTTCTTTTCTGGGCGGGGCGGGGGGTAGAGAGTTGGGGGTAGGAGCTGGCGGTAGGAGGGTCTCACAGGCGCATGGCGCACGGGAACGCCTTGGGAGGAGCACCCCCAATGTCGGCTCCTGGTGACAGTGTGGATGGGGGTTTTGGTAATCTTCTTATTTATATTTTTTTATATTTCTAAAGAGTTTCTAACAGTGACTCTGTTACCTTATCATCGGGGAGAATCCTCCACACGTCTCAGTGGTGTCCTTTCCGCCCTTCCCCATCCTCCGCCCTTCTTCCTTCTCCGCACAGGTCCACACTCACTGAATGCCCCCGAGTGTCCACCCGTGCCAGTGCCCATCGGACCCCAAGGACATGTCAGGAAAAGGGAGTCCCTCCATCTGGTCCCATCTGCCCCTTGGTCATGGGTTTTGTCCCCTCTCCCCATCAGCCACGGAACACCTCCACAGTGACAGAGGGCAGAGCCCAGGAACAGTGACAGGCCCGCGAGAGGAAGCCTGGGGACACGCAAAGCTTAATGATTTCTAGAGGCATCTGGCTCAGGTCCTCACTGGCAAGGTCTCAGGGGGACACCATCATGTCCTCTCTTCTCTGGGACTGTGAGGTCACTCCTGCTCTCCATCCTATATCCATTCTCTCCTTAGTGACCAGAGCAAACTTCAGACCATCCCACGGCCCTGCTGGCTATATCCCGAGGCTTCCATTCAGACCAGACTCCCCAGCTCCCACTGCCTCCCAGGTCCAGCCTCTATGACCCCACCTGCCCTCCACCCACTGCCTCCCAGGTCCAGCCTCTCTGTC